AGGAGAAACCAGGGAAGCAAAAGTAGACAGGGGATCAAGATCAAGATCATCATACAGGAAAGAAATTGCTGCAAATGAAAGATAACCTGTGAACCCGCTGCACCTCGAGGCCCAGGTCGCATTCCTCGAACCTCCGGCAACTCGTATGGATGCAACATCACAGTCGCCACTTCCTTCAGTGCCATTTGATGGCGACCCGATGAAGGTAATGGAAGGAATGTCAGCCATGAAGAGAGCGATTCATACGTCGAGAAAGGAAAACTCCCTAGGAGCTGCCAAGATAATACAATAACTGCGTTTTCACTCCCCCCCCCCCTCCCCCCCCCCCCCCCCCCTCGCCCCCCTCACTCCACAACCTCAGACCGCAAAACGAAGATCACAGGGAGGACGTGGAACAGGATAAAACAAGTGAAATTGGATGACAAAAAGGGGAGGGCCGAACTTGGAATCAATGACCTGCATGCCCCCAGCTCTGTAAGGGTATCAATGACCTGCACTGTGCCTCAATTGCCCACAGTATCAAAGACCTGCACTGTGACAGTCACCCGAAGTATCAAAGACCTGCAGTGTTTAAGTTTCTGTCAGAATCGGTGACCTTTTCAGCTTCCATTCCTGGGATGCCTGACAAAGATGGCACCGGCATGTCAAACAAGACATCACCCTAAACATCCTTCAAACTAAGTTGCCCTTTTTGCATTTTCGATGCTCATAATCAGAGCGTCCCCCTTAACAGACGCTATTCCAGGTGTGTGGCACTAAAATCGGGCAGATTAATAACAGAGCCATGCTAACTGACAGCCGCTCTCCATTCAGCTCTGCTGGGAATGTGCTGACTTGCCTCCCCCTGATATATCAGTTCTATACGACACTCCCACGAGGCACTTTGAGATGAACTCCTGCTAATCATGACAAAGCACCCGGCTCACACTCAATCTGCCCTTTTAATCAAATTACCTAAACCATTCAAGTTGTATCAATAGAAAAATGAGTCAGACACCCAAGTACTACGCTGCAGGCTCATAAGCATCACTGCTCACAGCTATACATGAACGATACAAAGCATTCTTCATCCTCAATTAGTGTATAACAAGGTGTCCAGCAGATGTAGACCACACAGAACACAATGCGAGGGGGACCCCAAACGGTCCATCATGTGACCGGTGCTTGACCGAATTCCAACTCTGGTTTCAAACAAACAAAACAAAAAAACAAATAAATAAATAAAACCCTTTATTTGCCATTTGCACAAGTACAAGTACACGGGAATTCTTCTCTTTACCTACACCATCTTGCTCTCCATAGATTGGGGGTCACAACAGAGGGTCAGCACCCATGGAGCTGGGGGTTAAGCACCATGCTCAATGGCTCATGGACATGTGACAGTTCTGCCGTGGCCGGGGCTCAAACCGGTGTTCTTCAGATCACAGAGACTTCGCTTGCCAAGCAACTGACCACCCGTCTCTTGGTTTTCTAGCTAAAGAATCACTCAATCCCTTTCAGTTCTGGTTATAGGTTTGGGTTTGAGTAAGACAGTATTCAAGCGATGTCGCTAGACAGAACATGGATATTTCGTAGAGAAACCAACAAATATGAGTGTTGATTTAAGAAAGACCAACTGATGTTGGTGGCTTTCCATCTCAGGAGACGCTGTTGATAATCACCATCCACCAGCACTGGTTCCAGAACACACATTACAAAATTCTTTCCCCCCCTTCGATTTTCCAGTAGGTGGGAAGGGGGGGGGGTCCTTATTTTAACTGAGCGGGAGCCGCTGGGGGTGGTTAATGCACATAACACAGGCTCACCCCCACTGTGCTGTTTACGCAGCGGTAGAGAGTAGGAAAGTCCGTCTGGCAGCTGCATGCAACCTCAACATCCACGATGATCCCTTTTTACCAGAAGTAATTCTGTCTTAAACGTCATGGAACGCGCATTGATTACAGGGGGAGAGTTCAGTGCGCCATGTGTCATTTCCTTGGAGAGACTACCTTCCCGATTTTCCCAGAAAAAGAAAAACAATCAGTAGACCTGGGCAACTTCATGAAGAGGAATCTATTCTTCTGCGTCAATCACATTTTCCAGTCAGGTTATCATCTCAAAACTGCTATCCATTAAAACACTGATTACAAAAATACTAAACCCTGGGTTCTTCTTTGATAAAGTAACGCAAAGCACAACTAACATTTCACAGCAGAAAAATACTGACTTTGCACTAGCGCAAGCCGTAAAAAGGTTCTCCTAACGCTCTTAATTATTCAGACGTGTGTTTTGGGCGTGACGAGCAATAAACCAATCAGAATGCCGCATCACCTCACCTTTAAAAGGCAGCAGCGCATGATCTATGGTGGATTGTTATTACAATGGCGTGTCTGAACGGCGGTTTTCGCCCAAGAAAACAAACGTGCTCGTACCCAAAGTGGGAAAACGCAAGTGACATCATCAAAGGTAACAGCACTGTTCCACCTAAGCCTTTCAAGGTGAAGCAGGACATGAGCCACTGACTTCAGACGTGGGTTTTGCTGGACAAAAGCACAACGTCATTTTGCTACCTTAAAATGGCAACGCACCCACAATGTCCACGTCATTATTTGCATGAAGCAAGACTAAAGACATATTATATTAAACACGGTTGATTTTAACGGAACGGCAAGATAAGACAAAGACTGACTTAAGACAGCTATACTGCCCACCAAACGATCAAGATGACGGGAGTGTGTCACAACTCTAGCAAAACTCTCACACTTTTATTCTGGTATTGGAAATTTGTCTGCAACAGTTAAATCATTCAGTTTAGTCAGCATTAGCTTTATTCATACACAGAGCCTCTTGATAAGCCGATTTTCAAAAAAAATCATTTACAATTATACTAGAACTGAGGGCCTGGATACTTCCTTTGGGAAGTTTGTGGATTTGCCTGCACTGCTTATTCGGAACTTGCTTGAGTGAGCAACAAATTCTTTCTGAAGTCATGGTGACAGAACAATCGCATATTATTGCTGTAATAATATGCAACAAGAGGTCAAGATAAACCAGAGCAAAGCAGAGTGAATATTCATCGACTGCAAATATCAATAGTTAAAGATCATTATCACACAATACCAGAAATGCATGCTTAAGGGCCTTTAAGATGGCATCTGTATTGTAAAACTATTACCAGATCAGGTTGACGGCTATTAGCTGAACATCTAGATAAGCACAGATGTCTGCAGTGGGATAACTGTGCCAAATCTGTTGCTATGGTTTCACCAAAGGCTTTATGACACTGCAAACTTACTCACACTTCTCCTATTACCGTGGCTCCTAACATCTGGAACTGAACTCTGCAAGAGCTGGTGTCGTTTTCCATACAAAAGGTAACACGTTCCCCTTTTCTCTTCCCATAAAAGTGCCATCGTTGACCCTCCCACCTCCATGATTAGGGGGAGGACACAGAGGCAAACTCCAGCTATTTACAAGCAAGGACTGCATGTGGTAAACTATTAGAAACGAAGGATGATTTTTGAGTGTTGCAATGGGCATGAACTGAAGCCAAACTCACTGCGGTTTCACTCACTATTAATTGAGGGTTACGAGGGAGAAACTGTCAACATAAGAGAAAGAAAAGCAGGCATGTCGTCATTTTGTGTACATGACACAGATGAGTAACTGGCACGTCACAGCAAAGCCCTTACATGAGGTACTCAAACATTATGCAGAAAAAAAATGCAGCATTCCGGGTAACGCTAATTCAATTTTATTGCTTCTGCTTTTTCTTTTTTCTTTTTTGGAGTCTAGACATTCATTCTTCAAACATTTTCAGAATGACCCTCTGCATTCCTCTGTTCTGAGCAGCGTGTCCAGCAGCCCCCTAACGGAGGGACCACCCCCCCCCTTCATGACCACCAAGCTCGAAGATGCTCCTCTAGTCATTTCTGGCCATTTCTCAGACCACACAGGAGGAGTCAATGAGGGGGGGGGGAAAGCCCATTCATTCTGCCGGTCGACACCGCTGAGCGCAGCCGCATGCCTTCCAGGGGTGTCAGGACGGGTGTGGAACTAGTCAAAATAAGACAAGTTGGGGAGATTCCTAAGATCCCTGGGGGCATCAAAGCCGACAGGAGATTCATGTCATGGTGATTCATTAAGACTATTGGCATCTAGCCTTACTTTAGAAATATTAACTCCACAGTAAAGCATCCACTTCTCTGCACACATGACCACAATCACCTGAAGACGTGAAGCCAACTAGCTGTCCATATTCAATATCTGGTGCTGTATTCCTCTCAAACCAACTCACACCTCGTCAAAACGTTCCACGGGCAGATCCCCTGCAGACCAGTGTTACTGCTGTATAGCTTGAGTGCCTGGTAGCATCGTGAAATTACTACGGACGAATCCACCGGCAAAGTGAGAAACAGCAGACTGCATTATCTATTCACATTGCTGAAGAAGAATATGTCATGCGAATCCCCAGGCTACAGGAGCTATCACTGTTTACACGTTGCCAAACGGTGCGCCAAGACTCGGCCTACCACAAATAGATGCGGCTTAGCGAAAAACCAGATGGCTCTTTCCAGATCAACTCGTCTATCGTGTACAATGTACACAGGGAAATTTCCAAACGTTTCAGTCACTGCATAATCATAATAGAAATGGTTTATTGTTCTCCTGGCTCCTTGACAAACTATCCAGTCACCACCTTCAACAAAAATAACACCTCTATCACCTCCTACCCTGACGCAGCCCCGAGCTCAGGAGATGTGTGATCATGCCACCATAATCAGAACATCGATGCCCTCACCCCAAAAAGTCCATCATTACCAACCAAAGCAAAACTCTTCCACAGCTACAGAAAAGGCGATCTGATTCTTCATAAACACGAATAAAAATAACGTGTCAGGGAACAGAAGAAATTGATACTTCTTGTACCGGTCTTGAGATGCAGTTCCTGGAAGAGCAGCCAGTTTGAAACCAATTACCACGTGCTGCTGCCTCGTGGCCGATTGACACGAGTCCAAAGCGAAGCGCCATCCGAATGACCGTTATAAAACGTGACTTACAAAAACGTGACTTTGCTCTGGTTAAACGCCGCCTGGACACTTACATGCGGCCGACGCCCTCGTACATGCGCGTGCTGTCGGGCAGCGCGCTGATCTCCGCGTGCGTCAGGCTGGCGTGCTTCTTCACGCGGCTCAGCTGCTCGATCTGCAGGTCGGCCAGCTTCACCTTCTGCTGCGTGTCGATCATCTTGGCCTGCAGCTCGGCGAAAGCCTGCAACGAGCCGTGCAGGTGTCATTACACTTAAATCTAATCAGAAGGACACCGTTAATGCGCCTATACATGAATGCAAAGTGATGTTACATGTAACAGTAATAAATGCAAAAATTATGCAAAATAATGGAGCCGTTATAACGTATAATGGATGGATAATGTAGTTAATATGACATCAGGGTTGCCAACTTTGGTCAGCAGACTGGCGTGTTACACCTATGGAAGTTTTATTACTTGGCAAACCGTCTGTAGGCTTTGCAAACCACTCCAACGCTTTTCGTGTAGCTAATTTTAGGTTCATAATGGAATAATACAGATTTACCGTAACATGTCTTGCGTGAGCGACACGCCAGATGCCTTAGAGTTGGCGACCCTGTGATATATTAGCTAAAGGAAAATTTATTACACTTGGTCAAAAGGGAATAAGAAGCCGCAATACGTGGTTCCACGTAAGGGCATAAATACTGCCTTGATGTAAACGATGCACTATCGATATGCCGCCAAGGCGGAGAAATGCTTTACTGGAAGAAGAGACGCATGTTAAAGAAATTAAGGCCTGATAACTGACTCCACATTTTAGTGCTGGCGGGCAGCTCGCTTTCAAACCGGGACACAGGACAGGGTTTGGGTTTCCTGAACGATTTGAATGCTGTCAAGAGGGGCCACAGAGTAGCGTCTGAGGCTTAAGCAGATCGTTACCCATTTCCTGTTAGTTAGTTGCACTACTTGCTAATGTCGGTTATAACGAGCAGACGCATGCCTTTTAATTAAATTCGCTAATGTGTCGTGAAATAAACGGTGTTATTTATACATTAATTACGGCTTCGCGTGTTAAAATATAGCACATTTTGTAAACACGTCTATATAGATGTCGTATTTCATAGCACTTAATAAGCAGCTCTGATGGGTTTATACAAAAATATACCCGCTCAAGACATTAATACAATCAGTGACAAAAGGCAGCGTGCGACACGCCTATGACGCGTCGCACACGCGACCGTCTACCGCTCCATTTCCCAAGCATTTAACGACATTAACCTTTCACATTAAACGTGCCCTGCCCATCGTATTTACTGAAATCAAAGAACGTGAGATATAATCTGACAACATATAAAGACAGAAAAGGATCAAGGTACCTTCTTCAACTCTAGGTCTACGGGGGCCGCCATGTTGCAAATGAGTGAGCATGCGCACTGAGTGCGAAACTCAAAGCAGGGGCGGGCGGTTCTCGAGCTTTCATTTTGTTCAATCACATTACTTCATGTATGTGTCAGTGTCTGTGTGGATGGATGGATGGATGGATGGATAGATACAGACAGAGGATAATGAAAAATTATGTCGTTTTTCTGCCATTCTCCCCCGTCAGCATTACATTCCCCAAAGAACAGTAGCGCTTCGATTGGTGTTTCTGATGCCCAGTGAGGTCGCATTTACAGCATGAGCGCGCATTTATTATTGTGTGCATGCTCTTTTGTTTGTTTGCTTTGGAATCAGCGCAAAGCTGCTTTCTTACCAGATTTCATAGTGGTCAGGAATGTCTGGCCAGCATACAATTATGCTACTGGAACAAACGCTAAAAAAAGACCACAAAGGCACATTTCTGAACTCTGATCTCTTGCTGGGAAGTACATTTGGTGTCTGTTTCCATAACTGGGGCAAACTTCTATTTATTGTTGCTGTATATATCTTTTTTAATCATTGCTATAAGGATGCAAGTTTGCACCGGTTACCTCAACCAGGTCTGTCTTGTAAAAGATTTTTGACCTCAATGGGACTTCCTGGTAAAATAAAGGCAAATAAATAAGGATTTATACAACACATCCCACAGCTGTGTCTTATTGCAACAGGAAGTGTTTCCTGAGACCACTTCCTGTCAAGAACAGCAATGGTGGACTCGGTCACTATTCAACGCATGCTGCTAGAGCCCCCCCGGTGGATCAAAATGGCTTCAGGAGAGGTTCCTGGAAGCCTTTAGTGTGTATATATAAGCAGTAACCTGCTGATAGACTATGAACTTTATGTACCATCAGCATTGGTTCCTTTACGATTCCTTACTGTGTCATTATGAAAACGCATGACATGTCATGACAAAATGTAAATTGGAGTAATTTTGAACTTGGGGTTTATTTCCTTTCACATTTGATATACAAATGACTATTTGTAGGATGATTTGAATGTTAAGGTGAAATCCAACACGATTTTTCCAGGGACTGGTTCATAGTATTGGTTAAGAGCATTGGCAGACTACTACGTAGTAGTACACAGAAGCACACAAATAGCAGAACTAAGCAACAGTTTAAAACGCAGTAGTACATCGTAGTAATGTGACAATCTTCCTCTCCAACTCGCCATCTCAGTATTGACCATTTACTCTGCACTAAGCAGTTGAACATTCTGCTAGTGTAATACCCCACAGCCTCTACAGCATTCTGACAGATTTGTAGTGAAAACGCTGAGAGAATTACGATGAAGAATCATTGTAAACCACAGGTAAAGCATTCAATTAATGCATTTATTTAGTTAAAATATCACTTTAGTATCAGTAAAAAAAATGACAATCCTGACATGTTTGGTAGTGCATCTCGACAATGTGTGAAGTGAATAAATAGCAGGATCACTATTTAAATAAATAAATTAAGAGTTTTACAATTATAAAAGGAGCAGAGGGACACAAAGCACAACCCTTTCAAAACCAAATAAAGACCTTTCTTAAAAAAGGATTACCACATGTTTCCCCATGACAGGGAAACGTAACAGCCAAAAGCAGCACACATCGTTCCTCATTTCTGCCCGTTCATCTGTCCATTCAGTTTAAAGAAAGCGTACATCTTAATTTATGGGACACAGCTGCCACGTCTCATCTGTGGACATCGAAGACTTCCAGGTTTCAGTCTTGGCTCCTCGTTGGCAGCAGTCACATCAACCACACAAGTTGTCCCTTCGTCCCAAACAGATCTGCTTTGGCATTTCACTTCTCCATTTTTCATTGAGGTAGAAATTCCATTTGCTTTCCTAAAATAGACACTGTGTGAAAAATAGTCTGGTCACAACATACAGGCCCAATACAAATACATCTCATTTTTCCCTCCTCCATTGTTTAAAAAAAAAAAAAAAAAAAAAGTACTCTTTTGCCACACACACCCAAACTGTTGACCCTAAAAGAGTGCTCAGGTTGCACAGTGCTCACCATTCTCTTGTTCATTTGTGTGAGGCAAGTCCCAGTTTCGGCTTTTCTTCAGTCTCCACATTATAGCCACCCCGCTTGTGGTACCTGGAACAGAATTTAGCCAACAAGTCTTGGAAAAGGTTTCATGGCAAACACAGGCAGGCAAACACAGGCAGGCAAACACAGGCAAACACAGGCAAACACAGGCAAACACAGGCAAACACAGGCAAACACAGGCAAACACAGGCAAACACAGGCAAACACAGGCAAACACAGGCCGTAGAAACCAGCCATCAGAGGGAGACACACCGACCTGAGTGCCAGCAGAATGCCGATGACGATGAGGCACAGCGAGGACAGCACCACCGCCATGACAGCCAGTGCTGTCGTCCTGTTATAGCCGCTCTTTTCAGTTCCCACTGGTAGGCTGAAGAGGTGACAGCGCTCTCCGGAGTATCCTGCAGTACATCTACACAAGAATGGCAGCCATGAGTCACTGAACCCCAAGGATATGGTTTGGGTATGGTATGTAAGGACACATCCCTACTAATGTGGAAGTACCATGTGTGTTTAGGGGTTTTGGGGCTGATTTGGCCCCTACCAATGTTGAAACTAATCCTCCACCCTTGTTGAAGGCCAAGTATGATGAGGAAAAGCAGCAACAGCGTCTTGTACACTTAGTTGAATTGAATTTTTCCTCATTCATTGAGCTCAAGGCACAGTTCCCAATCCTGGTTTTGATTGGCTGGTCTATATTCTAGATCGATAGGTCAACCCCTTGTTGCTGCACCTGACCAAGACCGGGACACAACACCCCGATACTTGGCTTACGCTGAAGGAATCGGTTCAGGCAAGTGGTCACATGTGCCAACCTTCCAGACCCTTCCCGGGAGGACTTAGCAGTATACTACACAAGGTCACAACACAAGGACTGTAACTTTAGAAGATCACGCTAGGGGGCCAAGAGATTTAAGGCTGCAAATGGCGAAGTCATTAATAATGAGAGGGTCCACATACATGCAGGACACTGAGCGCAGCTCCACCAGGTACTGACAGACCCCATGAATGCAGAAATCTTTGTACTTCCTCCGACATGGATTCCTCTTCCTGCCTTTACCCTTCTTCTTCCCGTCTTTGTTAGTGACTCCCGCCGAATCCTTAGGCTTGATGGAGAAAGCCACTGTGAAGACATTTTATACCAGTCATTACCATTACTATGTCAAGATACAAATATGCCCATTAACTACAAGCATTCACAGCATGGATCACCAATTGAAAAGCTATGCAGGTCCTTACTCAAGCGTGTATAAGCGTGAGAAAAAAACCCGTTGCATGTTGCGTAATTGCCGATCTGACTGTCCTTCCACGGAAGGATTCTTGACTAACAAATGGTTCTCCAAGCTTTTCACCATTCTTTGATTTCTAAAGTTGGAAGTTAACCTTGCGTTGCTCTGCAGGGTTTCATACCACAACCACACGCAAATAGCTGATGACTTGTTACGTGACTTATACTCGTTCCAGTCCGATTGTTAATACCTTTAGGAAGTTCGGCTTCATAATCTCCAGAAAGGATTTCGTCATAGTCTTCAAAGTGCTCATATGGCACTTCACCCCTGTCGTCCTCACGCCTGCCGTCGTTTGAAGGGCTCAGCAGATTGATCACCGCGGTCTCAGCCGGCTTTTCGGCGTTGTGCTTCCCCACGGAGGCGCAGCTGGCGAGCAAGACCATGACTGCAAAACAGACACGGCACAGCCGTTCAAACGTCTGACCATGACTATAGGCATGTCGGGGCGCTAATAATATTAACTTACAACCATGTGAAAAAATGTACACCTTCACATAATATTAGCGGATGATGAACTGCTGAAGTCGGGTTGATATTTATAGCAACGTTTAAACTACGATCCACTAATAGCTGCTATTTTAATAAGCGGCACTCCCCTAATTAACAATGAGCACAACACAAAAAAATTAGTTACATCATTATGAAAAGTTCTGCAAGTTGCGTTTCGTTTCCCAATGACGGACAGAAACACCTCTGATGAGCAAACCGACGACTAAACTTTAAGCGGTTCGCACATTTTCCTTCTATAAATTAATTAAAGCACGCTCTGTGCGACTCAAGATAAACCACCAAAACATTATAAAACGATGATTTAAGCGCTATTAATAGACGGTCGCCAACTATGTTTCTACTTACCGAAGCAGAGGACGAACAAGAGGAGAACTTTAAGTAACTCCATAATCTTCCGTTTCTGTTCGTGATCTTTTTCAAGAAAACGCAATATAATATTCCGAGTATATGAAAGAGTGATTTTTGCCGGCCGCCTTGCCAAAGTTATGGCAGATTTCTTCCAAAAACAGATGTATTTCCTGCGCTTAAGCGTCCCCGTGGGAGTCCTTCTGCGGAGTAACCTCGCTTCGAACGACTCGAGCTTTAATGAGAGTGAAAAGTCCGCTTCAGCCGTCCGTCCAAGCATATATATATAAGCTTCCTCCCAATGAACCGTGGCCACGCCTCATTTAATTAAATTACCCAACCATATACTTAATTTGAAACAAGTTCGTATTCGGCTAGGCCTATATGTTTGATAAATTCGGTTTTAGGTGATCATTTTAAATACATTCATTTCTATAGAAAAATTGGTCATATGTTACACTGGAATCCATTTTTCTTTTATTATATCTTATCTAGGTATATTCAGTGCACTGTCAAATATATTTCCATAAGTTATAATTTTAATAATACGCAAGACTTACACTCCATACTCCATAAAAATACGTAATTAAATTGTTGTTTTAGGTCTATCTAAAACGCAATTTGAAATTGTGGGATAATATATTATTGAATAAATAGTGTGAACATTAAATGCGTTGTAAAGTTTTGGACGGGTGTGCTAAATAAATAAATGCAAATTAACTGCGGGTGTATTTCTGTGATTAATAATATGTGACGTGTATTATCTACCTTATTTATATGTTGCTTTGGACAAATGTGTTTGCTAACTATATGTAAGTGCACTCTAAATGTAGCCCTATTTCTGTGCTGATGCATGAATGTACGAATAACTAGCTGGCGTGACATTTTCAATTCGATTCAAGTCACACACATGCACGCGCATTTACATGGATGTAACACTTTTATTACCTTGTAATAAATCTTGTGATGTAACCAATGTAGGTGCAGATTTGCCGTAAGATTTTCTGAGTGACACGCCAGATGCGTGAGAGTTGGAAACCCTGAATATGTAAGCAAGCACAGTATTAAGAAGTTCTATTTGAAATGTCCTTAGTAATCCGACCATCGCTGTCGAGAAGCGCTCCCAGCTGAGAGAAATACCCAATATAAGTTCGTGGGCTACTGCACTGATCGTAAGCTTACTAATTGGGATATGCTCATCCAATAACTTACATTAATCTTATGAATTGTAGCTTGGACTTTCTGCTTTTTAATACAAAAACGTTTTAGAAGTAATTTTATACATTGACAAAAAGATTACACGTGTCTCATATCAGAATCACAAAAAATACCATTAGTAGAATCGACGAAAGTGTCCTGCGAATCACATGTAAGTGAGATTTGTTGACTGAATATTATTGGCGTCAAAATAAAGCCCCGTTTTGACTTCACCTGCTTGCATTCACGTAGTCGGTGCGCTTCATCACCATAACTGACGATGCAGAAACGCAGTTCTTAGGAGCCCGCCTTATCTTTTTGAATAATCCCGGAGACATTTGCTTTATTTGAGGCCTTGCACCTCGAGGGTGACGGGTTTCGTGTACTAGTCTTCTGACTGGATGTGCGTTTTCTACCTGTGCTGGACTGGCGTAACCCGCACTGGTTACGCTGGTATGGAAAATGAAGGTATTCAAAAATAGGCAACTTTCTTGTACAATTACTGGGTCGTGACTCTGCTTTTAGTTATTTTGAGGAGCAGAGTATATCCATCCATCCATCTTCTGAAACCACGGGTCCTATTCAGGGTTGCGGATAGATTATGACCATTTCGCATGATCAACAATGTTTGTTTTATGTGGTACTGTCTACTTTTGTCGTTGTGTGGCCGTGTGCGGTCTCACAATCTATTTCCAGATAATCTAAGATTTCTGATTCTGTTTCATTGCGACCGTTAATACACATACACACACAGCACGGTTGTTCAACTTTCAGTTCCTGAAACAAGCGTCATATAGCGACACTTAGTGGACTAAGATAGGTTAGCATGTCTTTCAAAGTGAACGGGACTCGCAACGTTTCGCTTTGAAACGCCCATATTCACGCTCAGATCTATGTACTATTAATGCAGGAGTCCTGTTATAGTTCAGGGGGTACGTGTGATTTTGTTGAGTTTCAGTCTGTTTTAGCTAATTTCCTAATAATGCATGACCTAGCATTTAATGAGCCGTTGAATGTAAAGGTCAAAACCATAGACCACTTACAATGGTTCTGGAAAAAAAAACACACACACCTGCTAATATGCATACAAACTGGATGTTATATATTTCGGGATAATATTCCAAGGTTTGAAGCAGAAAGCATTTTAACTTTGGATCATTGTACTATAATCTGTCGGGACCCTCTTCCTCCCTGATGATAAAGTCTTGGAAAGTGTCACCATCTGGTGCCCCCATTTGCTGTGTTCCAAGGGTCCTTTTTCTATAACTGATGACCCCCAGAACCCCCCCTCGTGATCATTTACCAAGGGATAACCCATGATACTACCAGCTGGCCACACCACCCTGTTTGTGCACCCGGAGCAGTGCCCCTCACTAGTTACGATCATTAATTACACAAGAGGGCGCAAAACGTGTATTACAGAAGTCAGCAAGGATATATGTTCCTGTCGTTTCGTAATAAGCACGATGTTAGAAATCATGCAGAAGACAGGTCATCAACACCGAAAAGCAAAACCCGCTACAAGAGCATAAACGTACGTAGGTGTGCATTCCGTTCCTTTGCAGGTTGCTTTCATGTCATATTTAGATTGATGCTTAAATGCTTTTACGCAGTTCCTCTTTACCAATTTGTCTTAATTTTTAAGTCAAATCCAGGACTATGTCTTAACAGAATCTTTAAAGAAGGAGCCACAAGGATGGACACTTACACACTTGTGTGTACACAGAACAATTTTATTTACTGTGTGCAAAACAAGATCACAGACCAAACCATTTAGGAGGGATTAAAGCTTCATTACAGTAGAAGGAACACAATGATTAGTTGGTACTGCATCACAGACAAAATCCCAACGTGCCCAGTCTCCAAAATTGCAAAGTGTATTAAAAAGAGTTCCAACATGCTCTCTCACGATATAAAAATCCACGTTCACACCAAGTCCCAGGTCGCTGACATCGAGACAAAAAAGAAAAAAAAAGCTGGACATTTAACTCCAAAAACAAAAAGTTGACCATATTTACAAATGAATTTAAGTCAGTCTTGCTACCTAAGTTTATCTACTGCGGACACAGAAATCAAGGTCAGAAAGACCAAGATATGCCTGGTCTCAACTCGACTAACCTATACTTTAGACACAGACGAATTGTACAAGTCCTGTAAAATAAGGGTATACATCGTCAGACTACGCCAACTTCTTCACGTACACCGTAGAAAAATGTCAACCCTGTATATACAGAAACTCCACCCACTTACTGATGCAAAGCTTTAATGAAATTATTACATTTCATTTCATTACTGAAATTCCAACCACTTACTGATGCAAAGCTTTAATGAAATGATTACATTTCATTACTGAAATTCCATCCACTTACTGATGCAAAGCATAAAAAAAAAAAAAAAAAAAAGAACAAAAGAAAATATCCCCCTCACAGACATTGAGCAGCTCTGGAGCCCTTTATCGTCAGTGCCGGTTGCACCCCAACACCACCCCCCAACCTGGGTCACCCCCACGGCCTTACATGCCCCACCCTGCCCCCATGCCATTCAAGCCCATGGAGCCTCTGCTGCCGCTGCCGTAGTAACTGCTGTTCATTCCGCTCTGATTACCTAACAGGAGACAGCAATTGGCACTTAAGGACCAACCGGTTCAACACATGCAACATTTCCAAAACCGATGAAAACGGGGAAAACCCAGACAAGCAGGAAACTGGCATTTTCTATGCTACACCACAAATCCCTGTCTTTGATACTCAGTGTCCAATCAGTAGCAAGGCCATGAGATTCAATAAGTACCTACCTTTTCTGGTTTCAGTTAATAATGTAGCGTTTTCTAATTTGTTTTGCATCTTAGGGCTCCCGTACTAGAGGTCCAGTCAAGGCGAAACGGGGGGGGGAGGGAGTCGACACTTACTATAATCGCTGTAGCCGCCCATGTTGGTCTGGCTGCTGTACCCCCCCGCGTAGCCACTGTTCATCTGCTGACTGCTGGGCCCATAGGAAGACTGGTTGGCTGTAGAGAACAGGACGGTGAGTATGAGGGAATGCAAACAGGAGGAAAAGTTAATATCACCCGCAAAAAGCAGACTGACACTCACTGAGGGCGCCCATCATTTGGCTGCCGTAGCCGCCGTTGCTGCCCCCTGCTGTCGAGTTCAGGAATAGCTCCACGTAGCGGTGCTCTGAAAGGGGTCAAACACAGTGGTTTACAATCTCAGACAAGAAGGATGACAGATTATTAAAAGATACCAGAAGGAATGAACAAGCTACATCTGAGAGGCTTACAGACCGGCACTCATGCACTCGGCCCTCAACACAAACAGCGGACTTACGCATGTTAGCCTTGTCCTTGGACATGGCTGCCACGGCATCTTCATGGGTCGCAAACTCGACGTCCGCCTCACCGGTCACGCGCCCATCCGGGCCGACCTCAATGTGAACGCGGACCGGGTTCAGGGGCGAGAAGAACTGTAACGGAAATGAAGGAGCCTTAAATCGCTTTAGTTTATCCAAACCAATGGTCTAGGGCTGCTGCTGAACCATGGTTTGCTCGGAACGTTCTACAGCACGTTCTTAAAGACTCGAAGACTCACGCTGTAGATATCGGTCTCCGTGGCTCGGTAGGGAAGCCCCCTCATGTGCACACAATGACCCGTTGTGCTTTGGAACGAGCTCCCGTCACCATAGCGCCCATCTGACAGACCTACAAAACGAGACCCCAGGCGCTGATTAACTCGAGCTTTAAGTAACAGCAACTCAATGGGAAAAAAAACCTCCGATACCCTACTGAATATAAATAGTAACCTAAAACCAGGACAGTGGTTACGAGGATACCCAAATTAAAACTAGAGGTAATTAAAAGGCACAGAGAGGAGACATTTTCACATCTCTTTAGCTTCAACCTCCAAACAGCAAGGCAACGGGAAGCCAAGGCAGATGTTTTGTAGTCATGTGTGACCACGAAATTTGTAAAGTTCAAAGCACTGAACCCAAACTTACATACTTTATTTCTCAAACAGACCAGTAGAGAGCAAAACAAAAGAACCTCAAGGGCTCAGATCAAAAATGCAGACCACACTGGCCAAAACAAGCTCTCAGAGAAACTCATCACCAGCCACTTACACTGCAGTCTCAGTGGCCAGTATGTGCTTTTCATTCTCGGTCGAGGGAAAACCTTTTTGCTTTGACCAATGACATCAACAGTGCAATTTTAACGGAGGAGAAACAGTTATTGAGAACCTTAAATTCAGTCCCTTTGATTACCACCATGCAAAACCTCATTTCATTATTATTAAACCCAAGATAAATTTGACGACATCGAAAATAGAGCGCTAATCATGCAATTGAGTAAACTAAGACTGTTACACGCTCAAGAACTAATGAACATTTACGGGCTGGACACAGGCTGTTATACCATTATAAATTAACTTCGAACACTTTCTCAAATTTCACTTAAATTGGGATCTAATCTACATATCACTCAAAGCGAAACAGATTTGCAGCCATGATACAATAAACTGGACAGAGAACCTTAATCTACACAGGACATTCACCAAAGGGGCCCCACTCACCTCCACCATAGCCCCCACGTCGCATCCTCTCGAAGGAGCCTCCGCGGACCATGCTGTTGTACCCACGGCCGCCCCCCGGGCGGTCATACGGCCCAGGCCGCTGCATGCCCATGGTTTTGCGTGGGGGTTCGTAATGCGTCCGGACCTCGGCACGACTGCTCTTGAATATCTCTATATACCTGAGAGCGTGTCGGAGAGAGGAAGTCAGAAACGACAGGGACCCGGGAGCCCCGTGTCTAAGTCTTTCTACTTATGCATCAGATTTACGGACATAAGGATCAAGTCTCATAGTGGTCGCTTTTTCAGGCAGCGTGTTGGTCCTGTTCCTCCCAGCCTTATATGAATGAATCACGGAAAAAATTCGACAATATTGGGCAGGAGGAAACGCGTAGCCGTGTCATGAATGACCGTATTAAAATGTGAGTCGAGTAAAACTTCTCTTATGGTTACCTGGGAAGACCTAAGCAACCGTGTGCATGACCATCATAGTGCAGGAAGGTTACGATTCCATCAGAAGCAGATTCACAACCCGAGTTACCTGTCACTGCAGGATCCAGGTTCCCCTGATGACTGATCTCTGGGGGAAATCCATGTGTGCTTATGCTTTGTGTCTGAATCTTAGTGCTGAGCGACACCCCCAAACCTCACTCGATAGATACTAGTCCCCTTAAACAATGAATGCTGAGTCACTGCAATATACATTGCCCAATTTCTCAGCCTGTTAAAGCATCAACGGGTCAAACCCTACAGATACGTATCTGACCTACTAGCAGAGTCTAAAAATGTGCCCTGCAGTAAATGTACATTTTAGCATATCACTAACATACTTCCGTGTTTGGTATAACCTGAGTAAATATATATATAGGCATTTCTCCCACGTGGGCTAAAATCACTAGCATGTCAATGTCAAGACAACTAACGGTGTCATGGTTCCAAATGTTTCCTGCAGCATTCTGGGAGTTTTAAACCCCTTGGCCCCCTTTACACCGTGGATGAGAAAGCACCCGGTCAGCACTAATCAGAGACTGATCGCTCAGCACTAAATTGAGTGTCTGCACTCAGGATTTATAACTGAATTTCAGCCGTGTCTGATGAGTGTTTTGTTTTGTGCGCCATTACCGTGACAGGTGACAGGTTGTAGGAGGTGTACACCATAAGAAAAGGAAAATATAGTCCAGCCATCCATCCCCACCTGTGCCCTATTCTTTCCTTGTGTTTCTTTAGAGCCTTTTCAGCTATATCCTGTGAAGCAAACTGCACGAAGGCCTCCCCCGTACTCCTCCCCTGGAAGTCCACCGGCAATGTTATCCCATTTGGCACGATTTCCAACCCTTCAACCCAAGGACAGATAACCCCAGCGGGGAGCATTAAATCACATACCCAGTCACAATGTTCTCTATCTTTATGCTAAATAACAAAATAAAAAAGACCTAAAATGCATCAATAACACCAGAGGAATTTCCTATTTGAGATTCTACACATTTTATAATCGATACATAATTAGAGATGACAGACTACAGGTTGAGACTGCAGTTGTCAGAATTAAGCACTGATTGTTACATTACTTAACATCACTACAGGAAAAATTGCAGGGAAAAATTGCGTTAAGAACGACCATCAATAATAGAGGTCTGACCACAAATGGCTGAGCTGCAGATTAAATGCTGCCCAGGAATGAAACGTATATTCCTCATATTTTTGATTCAGAATATTAAACAAAAAAAAGCCAGAAAACCTTCACTAGATTGTCTTGCTTAAAACTTACGCACTGAATTGTTACATGCAGTCAATATTCCTACTTCAATATGAAACCACTCAATATTCCAGCAAGTGACGAAAAGCATTCATAAGGCTTGTTATGTGGCACGAACGTACCTGAAAAGAACTGGACGATCTCCTCCTTGCTGCACCCGAAAGGCAGGCCACGGAGTCGGACCAGCCCATCGCCCTCCGTCTCCGGGCAGTTCGGACCGGTATGTTTCATGACCCAGTCCATCTCCACGCTATTGGACTTGAACACTAAAGAGGACGGGACCAGTCAGAGATGCCGATGGACGGCCCATAAACAAGGGGAGCATGAAGATTCAGACACACCTTCCACGTAGCGGTGGCCCATGGTCTCTCTGTCTTTCTTCACAGCGATCTTGAGGTCGTCGTCCGACTCCAACTCCACGAAGGCCTCGCCACTGGGTCGGCCTTCACGGGTGTAAGTGAAGTGGATGCTCGTACCATTATTAGCAATTTTACAATCTAGGAGGAGAAAGATCATTAAGCCATTAAGGACCCTACATTATAAAAAAATTTTATTATTATTTTTAAAAGGAGCTACTGGATATACGAATTTCCCCCTTGAGGATAAATAGAGAATTTATCTATCTACAATCGCATACTGGGCATTTTCTCTTCGCTTGCATTTCACCTGACATTTGTCTGCATGGTAACAGATACATGCTGAAAGCATTGGTTAGTTGGAGATGAAGCTAACACCTTTGTATTGATAGTCTCCTGCTGTGTTGGGCCACATGCAGGAAAAGCATGATACGGTTGATAAGAGCATTTCAGCTTGACAATTGGTCGGTATACCTGTGACTGGCCGTTGGGATCGCTCTGCACTCAGCACTTACAGACCCGAGCATTCGTCTCACCTGAGAAAAACCTCTGGACTTCATCGACAGAGCATGACCAGGGCAGTCCCCGGATGCGGACCACGAATCCTTCTCCGTCAGACATGATCGTTAGATGATAGGTCGTTTTTCTTTTCCCTGTAAGAAGGCAGATTTACAAGAAAAGCGTTATGGCACGTTTAAGGTCACAATAGCAAACCAGAAATCACTATTTTGGGTAATTAAGAAATAGAGTTAAAGTATAATAGAAGGATTTCATGCTTAACATAAAATTGAAAACGTTTAAGCTAATTTAAACTAGTTATGTTTGGAATATGAATACTAGCTAAACAGTTATTAAAGCAGAATTCACTAATTGGATAGCAAAGAAAACGTCTTCCTAGAAAACTGCTGTTTCTTAGGTCCAAATTAAAAAAAATCGTTATTTAATTGATAATTATTTCCTCCCATGCTATCAAACAAAAAGAAAGCGGAAAGCACAAAGCACCGGCGCGCCACCGCATCTTTCCGCGCCGCCGCCGAGGCTTCCGCCCGCACTCCAGGAAGCGGCTGCGAGCCTGGCATGTCCGCGCTTCATCCAGCGCCATCGAGGGACTTGTTCAGGCTGAATCAAACACTACCCGCTCGGAAGGCCGCCTGGAGCCCGCCAACCCCGCCACGGAGAACTAACAGTTAAAAAAAACCCAGTGATTTGTACATCTGGGTACCCGAGGTCCGGCTATCCGTCTTTCAAGTCCCAAGCGGAAGCGGCCATATTTGTTCATAATTTCGATACTAGTTGAATTTGTTACATTAGAAATTACATCAGAAACAGCTAAAATGACTCTATGAAGTAGCAGATTTACATATTAAAATCGATACAGGCGGTTACATTGTATTATTTTATTCAAAGCTCATCTTCCTAAATGGCACTGATCGACAGCAGTCGTTTAACTTAGCTAGCCTGTAATTTAGTGATGGAAATGCGCGTTTAGTTACATGAATCGTTAACCAGAGGACATCGTGAGGGAAACAAGGTTGCTAATGTTTTGCTTGTATAGTTAAATTAACGCTTTAAAATAATCAATTGGAGCCCGACGTTAATTGGAGACGGCTCGCCGTGAACAACATACAGCCGCACTTCGCAGACAAAAGACGGGCCTTGTGAAAGCAAGACACGGAGACGGCATCATTCATGCTCGGCGGTACCAAATACTCAAATAGAAGCCATCGCATTCAACCCCACGATGCTTTACTACCGTTGAGAAATACATATGTATACCAAGCAAAACGAAAAACACATTAATAATCAAGTAGGGCAATTTAAGAGTTTAGCTAACGCCTCACCTTATTGTAGCGCCTTCAGCGTGGCAGCGCGCTCCGACGGAACGTTCTGAGTTCTCCTGCGCATGCGTCGCTTTCTGCCGCTCGCCCGCTTCGGCGGTAACCACGCCCACTGAATGGCTTGTAAAAAGGATGGCGTCACGGGCAAGACTTTTTTGTTTTTTCTCCCATAATTCAAAAATTAGAAAACAGGGTTAGTTCGTGGCTTTCTTTGAATAGTAGTATACTTTTGTCTAAATCGGAGGTCTTGTCTAGATTAGTATATGCTTCATTGGTCTTGGATTTGCCACTTGAGTCTATTAAGAAAATTGACTCAAAGCTTTTTAGATTCATTTGGAGGAATAAACCTCATGATATTAAAAAATGAGATTGTCTGTCGTCCACAGGAAGAAAGTGGTCTGAATGTTTTACACTTCTAATGTTGTATTTAAAACAAGATGGATCCAGAATTATTTCAAGAACAAAGAGAGCATGTGGTGCCTTATGCCAAACTTAATATTCCAAAAGGTTGGGGGGGGGTATAGGACGAATATAGGACGACTTTCTGTGAAAACTAATTTTCACAAGCAGGCACTTCTTGCTTGGTTGCTGATTTATAAAAATAATTTCTCCCCTCACACTTACGGTAATTACTTAATCTGGAAAAACAAATGCATTAAAGTTAAAAAAAAAACAAGACATTATTTTATGAAAACTGGACTGAAAAAGGTATATTTTTAGTTAAACAATTACTGAATGCAAACAATGACATACATCATTATACAGATTTTGTAGAAAGATATGGTGCTTCTATTACTATAGACTAGTATTAGACTGTGATCAATGCGATCTCTGAATGAATGTTAAGGCTTGTGAAAAACAATAACTGTCAACCATCAGAGTTAGCAATAGATTTTAATACTAATATTATACTACAGGGAAAGAATTTCTTGGATGCTGAATGTAATAAATTCTTAAGGTCTATACTGCACTCAAATCATATCCTTGTAAATATTGTATATTGGAATTCTTTTTTTAGGGAACATATTGACTAGGAAAGAGTTTGGATGACACCTAGTAAATACTGCATAACTAAAAAGGTAAAAGAAGTCTCATATAAAATAACCCACAAAGTATAACCAGTCAAAACCCTTATATTTGAGCGATTTAAAGTAAATGTAAATGAAAATTGTGTCTTTTGCAATAGCAACCCAGAAACTCTACGACATTTATTTTGGTTTTGGCCCATTTTTAATACATTTCGGTCTGAACTACAAGCATATATTAAAAATGAATATAGTATAGATGTTATCTTTAAAGATGACTAGTTTTACTATGGATGAAAATAACATGGAAATAATATAAAAGGATCATTGATTTAATTATCATTTTGGCAAAATATTTCATACGCAAAAACAAATGGTCTGGGAAACACCCTGTATTAGAACAATTTAAAGTAGCGGTAAATATTTATCTTCAAACTATATCAAGGTTTAAAAACAGAAAAGCTATCCGGACATACTCTACGTTTAGTCTCTTGAATCTGTTTTTGTAACGTTCTGCTGATGTATTGTACTGTAATATGTACTCCTCACAACTTTTTATTTATTTTATATATTTATTTTTATTTTTTTATGTTTGTTTTTTCTTCTCTCTTTCTACCTTCATCTTCAATTTGTAACTGTTAAGGACCCTGGGTCTTAGGGCCTCGCTCTTGTCTCAAACATGTTTGCCTCATTATTTCATATCTTTTTTATCTTTTATTATTTTATATCATTATTCATTTTTAAATTATTTTAATTTACTTTATTTTGATTATATATTTCTTCAGACCTTTTTTTTTTTGCTTTATTCTAATTACTGTCTTTGTATTCTACTTTTGGATTTTTTGTTGTATGTTTTTTTTGCTTGACACCACCTGCACCAAAAGAAAAATCCTTTTACTGTACTTCTATGTACTTGGCGAATACAATTCTGATTTCCTTTCCCTTCGAGTAGTACACGAGAATAAATATACATTTTTTAAATACCCAGATAAAAGACAACCTATTGTACTGATTAAAACAGACACGTGTTCTAACTACCTGTACTTAATAAATAGAATTTATGTTGAATGACAGTTATCTATTAGCTAAATCCAAATAATGCCTGACGTTACCGGGATCTACAATTTTTTGATTCAAGTTAGAAATGGGCAAGCATGTGCCCTGTAACCCCGCCTTTTCCGGGTATATGGACCAGGCCCGGAAGTCACGTCACAGTGCAATTGCGCGGCTATTCAAAGCTGGACCGCTATCCAAGGCGCTCAGAGGCTCTGTCTACCTGAAGTCTTTTAAAAATATTAATTGTTCTTCTTTCTGTTTTGTACTTTATTTATTTTTTTACATAAACTACAATGGCGACCCCCCCAAAGAGAATGTGTTTCAGTCCGGTACTTGACAACAGTTTTGAAAAGAGGATTAAGAAAATTTCTATTGAGGGAAATATAGGTGAGTATAGTATTGACAGTTTCTTTTTTAAAATTGTTGTTAGCTGGCCGGTCAGTACTGCATGTGAAATTGTACAGAAAAATCTAGAACTGATTCGAATTAGAAGATTTTATTATAATAACCTGTGACATTGGGTGAGTGCGGCATATAAATGGACTGACTTCCGTAGTTTGCTAAGAATTTTGCTTTAAATTTTTATTTCCTTAGAAGAGCCGATTTACGAGGTCATGCAAATTTAAGTCAGAGCTAATTTAAATTTGCAAGCCCAGAATTTTGGTTAGAAGTAAATTGACGTTGAAAGGTTCTTCGTTTCTTGGCGCCAAAATCATGAACCGGTCCCTTGCTCCATATGCCGTCATGCCTATCAACTGAATTCTTAAGTGTCGTCGGGTAAAATGCAAAATATTGTTGCAAGGTGCAACAACTCAATCTCGTTTCTTTACAGTATTATGTATTTTTTTTTCCTTTTGCAGCTTGTGGAAAGTCGACGTTTGTGCGTATGTTAGAAATGGAGTCTGAAGACTGGGAGGTCATACCGGAACCAATCGGCAGGTGGTGCAACGTTCAGAACACGGAGAATGAGTTCGAGGTGGGGAGATTGCATATTACGACCCCTACAAATAAAATTGCCGTTTTACATCATGATTCTTATTGCTTGAGAAAATTGGGGGCTTTTCTCCATTTTTTTTTTTACTCTTTTCCTTCTCTTATGCCTTCAAGGAGTTGACCACCTCTCAGAAGAGTGGCGGAAACCTTCTGCAAATGATGTACGATAAGCCCAGCCGTTGGTCCTACACCTTCCAGAGTTATGCGTGTGTGAGCCGTGTGCGCTCCCAACTTCAGAAACCCTCTATTAAGCTGCAGCAGGCAGAGAAACCGATCCAGTTTCTTGAGCGTTCTGTCTACAGTGACCGGTGAGTGATCGTTGCAGTCTAACAGTGATTACTTATCAGAGTTGGCTAGTTCAGGTTTTATAGTTGAAGTTCAGACCAAGATCTTGTTTCAGCCACCCAGCTGAGTGCTCTGTGACTGGCTCTTTATACTCAAATGGTTGGTTTGAAACAAAATCTTGGTCTGGATTTTTTTACTCTCTGGACCTGAATTACCCACCTCTGTTACAAATGCACTGTACAGTAAGAGGTGGGGGGTTCAGCTCCAGAAGTTCAAAATCCAGACCAAGATTCTGTTTCAACAAAACATTTGTGTATAACGAGTACTTAGCTGATTGATTGGAACAAAATCTTGGTGTTGATTTTTACTTTCTGGACCTGAACTATCCTCCCCTATGTACATTATATTAGGTTAATCTTTTTTTTTCTTGAAGGTATATCTTTGCATCCAACTTGTTTGAGTCTGGAGAGATGAATGAAACCGAATGGGCAATATACCAGGACTGGCACAGCTGGCTTCTGTCACAGTTTGAATCAAAGATTGAGCTTGACGCCATCATCTATATGAGAGCTGATCCAGAGGTGAGCTGGTGCCCAGATAACCTGTATGTTTTTGTTTATTGTATAATTTTTTTAATGGTAGGTGGAGAATATTAACTTGTTCAGAAAGCAATGAAAATAGCAAGATGGTGCAGAACTGTGGCCTAAAGTTGACATTTGAAAATGCACAACATGGTCTAACCCATACTACAAATGCCAAAAATTCATAGTAATTTAGCATTATAGATATTTTGGTAGTCTGTGTAATGAGCTCTTGTCTCAAACTTGTGGTGACTTTTCAGACGTATTATACTGAAGTTAACTTTTGCAGCAGTTGCGGTTTCCAAATGCTGCCAATTGTATTCAGTAAAATATGGCTGTTTCAGTTAAAGTTGCATATATGGCCAGAGAACTGATAGCGAAGGTGTTTGTGGTTTGTTAGAGGTGTATGCAGCGTCTGCATCTGCGGGGACGAGAGGAGGAACAGGGAATCCCTCTAGAGTATCTGGAAAAGCTGCATTACAAGCATGAGTCCTGGCTGTACCACCGCAACATCTGGTGAGAGCTCCCCCACACGCATACATGAATAGTCCTTAGGGGAATAGTGCACCCTATCGAGATGACAATGCCTTTAACCCACTCTGCTTCCACGCAGCGTGGAGTTCGAGTACCTGAAGGACCTCCCCGTACTTGTGCTCGATGTGAACGATGATTTCAAACACGACAAAATCAAACGAGCAGAAGTTGTGGACAAGGTCAATATCGCACCTGCATTTCATTGTTCATAATTAAATTACATTTGCTCAGCCGGCTGGTTTAGAATAAGCTGAGTTTACAGTGTGGATACATCTGCGTTCTGTTACATCTCTGTACAGGTGAAGGAGTTCCTGAGCACGCTGTGATAGCTGGTGTGCACCTTCTCCTGATGGGTGCATTCCCTCTGCTTGCCGGAGATCCACGCTGTCCGCTCTGCAGGAAATAGACATACAGAAGATCATGCAACACAAGGACCTTCTCCCAACAACAGCTCTTAAATATTTTTTGTTTTATTGCAATGGATGTTGTATATTTTAATGCCATTTTACATAATTTATAAGTGTGTGTGTTTGGGTTTTATACATGATTTAAAATTTTGTAAATTGTAATTTTTTTATAGTTGATCCAAGAGAAATTCACTGACATGTGCATTGAGACACACACCTGAGATATGTATGGGGTGTGTTTGTGTACTTGGTGTTTCCTGTGGATCAAGAGATGGTGGGGTGGGGTTGTATTACTGGAAAATACAGACATCAGACCATTGTTGTACATATATTTTTTTATTTTGCTTGATGATGGCATGTTCCTTCACTGTCAATGGAGGTAAGCAGTTATATCAGATATATCAAATTATATATATTTTTTTTACAGTGACAGTTATAACTACTTTGTTTTTAATGGTTGCCCATCTCCAGTGCTTCACGTGGTATGACAACTGGCTAACTGCACTCCATGTAGCCCGTGTGCCTGCTCTGTTTCCATCTACATTGATGGCAGATGCCCTTAGCCAGAGCGACTTGCATAAATGCTTGGAAGTCTCAGTGACCTGTTTAACTACCTTGTCTGTCTTTTCCTTGGAAAAACTTAAGTAAGCTCATCATATTAGAGCCTTATAACAGTGTCTGCTAAATGATAATGTAATATAGTCTGACAGTGACAGCCAATTGAATTCTGTAATGTGGGGACAGGAATCAAGCTTCCAGTGTGAGCCACCAAGACCTTGGTTTAGATGATTGTTTTTTTTGGTGTGGCCGGCCGCCATGGAGAAACGTTATCAGCGGAAACACTGCACATACAGTGTATTGACATGATGCAGAATGTCCACGTGCTTTACATGACTTGTTTACAACAGCGTGCATGTATTCCAAAACAGTCCTTGAGTAAAAGCAAACAATGGATTTGACTTTCCCAGCTGGATGAGTATAAATGCACAGAGTCTTGCATTTCTGGAGCACTTGAATTGATGGTATACGAGTTATTTAAAGTATAGCCCAGTATACGGCATGGTGTCCCAAACAGTCTAAGAAAGTAATGGCACACTTATATCTTAATCATCAGAAATGGTCTTTTTCCCAGTGGACTGGGTTCACCTGTTAGTCATACTTGAGATACAGTTCTGTGCGATGGATTAATCATGTCTGAATCCTCAACCAAGATGACTTGCTCATGTCTGAATCTTCCCTTTGAATTTAAAGGTAATGTTGGAAGGGGTGAGGCTTGGTATTATTGGCGACTGGAAGTCTCTCTTCTCCTAATTCAGGGCTCTTCAAATCTGGACCTTGATTGCAAGGTCCAGGCCTTGTTTTCAGTTCTCCCAGGTAGTCAGGTTAATAATTTCTGATTCTGATTGGCCAGAGGCTTCACGCCTGACTCAGGTAAAGGAAGGCTGGAAAACCAGCAGTGCTTTGACCTTGAGGACCATGATTTAAATAGCTCTGTCCTAATAGTTGTAAGGGTGCTATGTAAGGCCATTTTGGATTGGGGCTTTATAGGATTGAAGTTTGGAGACCCCCAGATGAAAACATTTTTGTCTACTAAATTAAATGAACAGTTGCTCTACATATAAAGGTTCTTTTTTTGAACAATAAAGTGCCTTTGTTGCATTTTTTCTGAAGGGTTAGTATTTTCATAATTTGGGTCTTACCTCAAATTGCACCTAAGACCTGAGATCTTGCTGCATTGTTTTACTACTATGGTGGGTAGGGTTTGCTTTATCTGCCATTGTTTTTGAGGCCTTGTTTCTCAGTGTGAACAGACGTTCCTGAATTCCCACAGAGGCCTTTAAAACCTGGTCCAATCAAACCTGGTTCTGTTTAGCAAAGGGCTGTGTATTATCTGTGGGCATGGGATGTCTGTTTCCCTGACAAAGATGGCCATGCAAACAAACGTTAAGGAACGTGGCCTGATAATCCTAAGTCTTATACTTAGGGTACTAACTTTGGGGAAAATGCTAATTTCATCCATCGTCCAACTCACTTATCCTACTGGGTCATGGGGGGTCCAGAGCCTATCCTGGAAGCAATGGGCATGAGGCAGGAAACAACCCTGGATGAAGGGCCAGCCCATTTCAGGGCACACTCACACACCATTCACTCACACAAGCATACCTATGGGCAATTTAGCTTCAGCATGTCTTTGGACTGGGGGGGGAAACTGGAGTAGCTGGAGGAAACCCCACGACGACACGGGGGGAACATGCAAACTCCACACACATGTGACCCAGGCGGAGACTCGAACCCACGTCCCAGAGGTGCGAGGCAACAGTGCTAACCATTGCACCACCGTGCCGCCCATGCTAGTTTCCTTTAACCATAAAATGAATGTGACATGGTGCTGTAGTTTCAGTGTAAGTGAAGAAAGGGGTTTCATCAAAAGTGTGGCAATCGAACTAAATAAAAGCGGTAAGTCTTTCACAGTCTTGTTCATACCTCAAATGACTATGTTTCCTTACTGCTCTTGGAGTACAAGTAAGAAACTGAATAGTCTATGTATTGAAATACCCCTTTATATCTGAGTTGTGTGTGAATGAAACACTTCTGTCGATTATCCAGAGCTTGGAGTGTTATTAATATAAACCAATAAGAGAGCCAAATTAAAAAGATGTATTGGGACTAATCACTAGAATACCGAGCTGAATAGGAATCTGCTGAATTTTTAGGGATATTCGCCTCTCTTTTTTTCAGATTGATTTCTAGTTGGGAGATGATTTATTTTTAAATATTTTAATGGTTACTTCATACCGTAAGAAACAGACAAGATTTACCCAGCCGGCTTGCAGTTGGGTCGAATGAGGACACCAGGCTGCAGTTTGCAGTACTGCGGTGCGGCGAAGCAGGGCTATCTGGACTTATCGCTAGACAGACGCTTTTGGATGCTTTATAATAGCGAGAGGACGATTATAAAACGTGTCTTCTGTCAGGAGAACTACATTTCCCATTGATTACGATATCTGCGGTTGTTCCTGCTCTCTAATCTGCTACGTCTCACCCCGCCTGTCCGGTCAGTTGCGCACTTTGATCATTCCATTACAAAAATACGAAACCCAGATATGATTACTCCATATAATATTAAGTGTCAGCAGGCATGTAAGATAAACTCAGTAAAATTTCAGAAAGTAAATAAGCTCCCGACTAGATATACTGCCGCATATACACATTTTAGAAAAAGGAGTTTTAATGCGATATTTTTATTTTGTCACTACTGAAATATTAAAGACGTTACATATATAATAAACCCAAACGGACCTTTAATGCATTTCTTTAAAAAATACATATAAGGGACTGTGTGGGCGGGAAATATGTGACAGACGTGTGATTGCCCAATCGTTTCTGAGATATTCTGTTTCCTGGCGTTAATCGCAAAGCAACCCAAGAAATACTGGTAAACCAAACTTGACGTTGCGGGTGCACGTTGACGGACATGGGTTACATCCAATCAGTATTGGCTTTTCTCTACCGTCATCCAATAGTCTTTATGTTCTAGAAATAGAGGCGGAGTTTCTTTCCCTGAAACTGTACGTAATGGTTAGGTTGTTAGAAAGTTAATGGCTGGGGGAAAGGGATCCTGTTCTTGCTTCAGGAGAGTTTCTGGATTTTCTGAAGTAATACTCTAAAAACAGTACATCCCCAAAGGAAGTTTAGAAGCATAATACCTAAGTTGAAATACATATTATTTAAGGAAGTATGCAGAATGCTGTAGCCGGGACAGCAATGTTGACGGACGGCTTCGAGGACGAGATTGACTCGGTGACTCCGCGCTCCCCTGCGGTAGGGATGGGGGTAGGAGCCACACCAGGAGCTGGACTCGGGGGCCTAGGGATCGGTGTCGGCGGAAAGAAAGTCCGCTTGTTTGGCGAGGCCGGTGGGCCTACCGCAGACAGACTGGATTTTAAGCTCGCTGCGGCTGCAGTGCTCTCCTCCGGCCCGGGATCCGGCAGCGACGAAGACGAGGTTTCTGAGGTAAACTAGCTCGCTAGCTAGCTAAATCCCATCTAACCCCTCCCTCTTTAAAACGATACAAAAATACACGTCGTTTATTACCGTAAATGTTTCCTTCTGCAGCCGTATTTGGGTGATCGCACGATTTCCTCGATGTAAGGGCACACCGATGTATTTGCAACTATACGGTATAATACTGTAATTCGCGAAGTCTGTGATTAAGGCCTAACCGTGGGGACGAGCGGCTGCAGTGCCCTCGTATGAGCAAGTTTCCCCAGATTTCGCACGGTAGTCGGCTGACAAGCGTCTTTTCGGGATTAAAAGACGTCGGTTGCCGCACGTTGTAACAACCATAAGTAGTATTTTACCCCGCGAACAGCGCTTGGTGTTTTATGCTATCCCCCCCACCCCCCCCAACACCACCACCACCACCACCACCACATCTTAATTTTGCTGAACGCTGATGTTATAATCTGTCCGGTGTGCCTAAATAAATGTTATTTGTTCCCTGTCACCGGTCTCTGGAGGACTACCAAATTGACTTGTGGGTCTTAGGGCCTCGCAGATGATATTATTTCTGAAAAGCAGAATACTCATGTGTCCGATTCCCCTGTCTGCGCCTTGCAGTTTTTTGTCCACTTTAAGCCAATAACCAGGATAGATAATCTGTCCTCTTGACAGCTACACGATTTCTGCTCGGCCCGTTCTTCTTCGCCTTCCAGTGCACCAGTCGGCATGTCAACGGTCTCGACTTTGACACCCACACGGGCGAACACGAACCGATCCTCCTGTAAAGCCAGTCGAGCGGATCCAGTCATACCCTCAAGTTACCGCACCTGTTGACATGATGTTAATACTCGCATAAATCGGCATGGTTGGCTTATTTTGCCCCGATCACGTGTTGATCGCATGTATATTGCGTGTATGCCCCAGAACACCTTGCAAGGGAGGAAAAAAATGCATCAATGTATAGCATCGCGGCACCAGAGCTCATACTATAAAAATCCTCATTCACCCTCGCTTAGGGATCTGAGGCAGGGGAATGGCGATTTCCATTCGAAGTGTCACTTACGGATAAATAATTAATGGCTGGAATTCAAACGCCCATCATCACGGAGGGTGTGTGTGTGTGTGTGTGTCTTTCTCTTCTGCACGGCGAACAAGGGGGACTTACGGCGTGGCGTGTTTTACGGAATGTCCTGTCCTACCCACCTCAGAGCACCGCACAACATCTGCATCATGTCTTTGCGCCTGACACTTCAGTCAGTTGATCAGAAGTAATCAATTGTAATCATTTATGGTCATTGCCGTACTTGGTTTCATCCTAATTTGGATGTGATATCTGGGAATTTGGTACTACGTTATGAAATCTGAATTGTCATGTGGTATTTTAAAATTTAGGTTTCGATGGAATGTTTTCATGGCGATTATCACGGCAAGCTCACCCCTAAGTCTGTAATCTCATGTTTCAAATTCTATCACAGAATATCGAGCAAAGTCTTTATTCACTGTGTAAATTCCACAAATAATGATATGGGAGTCAGAGGTCAGACATTGTGGTTCAGAAATTTCATGGAACAAGATCGTGAAGAGGCATCATGATATCCATCCATCCATCCATCCATTTTCTATACCCCCTTGAAACAAAATTCTATCTGCAGTCAGAAACAAGGTTTTGGTAAGTCTAAGTCTGGCCTAAGAATTACTACAGAGCGGTCTGTAACTGTTGATGTTTAAATGTTTTCCTATATCTGCAGGACATGGGTGCGTTATTTGCCGTGCATGTAGGTCTGTGGTCTGCTGCATTTCTGCGGCACTCAAGCAGCACTGTCAGGTTGTTGAGGGTGGAGCAGCTGAAGTAGCGGGTGCAGCTCTGCTGCTGGCTTCAGGTGCATAATCCACACACTGCTGCTGTGTCCACAGCACACTGGGGCACAGAGGAAGGTCTGAAAGTGATTCCACACTTAAGTGATGCTCCTTGAGCAGATTACGCGTAGCATAAGCTTTTAGAGAATCAGCATTTCGGCCTGGGGTTTTAATCTTGTCACGGGGACAGAGAGCTGAAACGCCAGTGATACGACTGTTTAAAAGGGCTCCCGTGTGTCTACTCTGTGTACATGACAAACGGAAAGTAACTCTGTGTAAATCAGCCCTGCGCTGCCCTCCTTCCTACGTTCTGCAGTGCAGTCTGCTCTCAGTCTTCCGTAGATTTATTTTTCATATTAAAATTAACTCCTTGATTATGAAACGTTTTCATTACACAGGATTCCTTGAGCAATGAGGAGGAGATAACTGATAGAGTTGTTATATTTTTCTCCCAGGAAGCTTTTCAAAATCTTTATTTTGAACAAGTAACCGATAGTAAAATGTGTGCTTTCTACACATTGTCTACACATTGTCTACACATTGTCTACACATTGTCTACACATTGTCTACACATTGTCTACACATTGTATTATTTTATGGAAGTCATCTACTGTACATACTGTTCTTATTTTAATAGCAAGAGAGTCTCAGCACTTTGGATTTTTTTTTTCCTGATGGTAAAGTCTAGGGCGTTTAACAGGCTTGCTGATGGAGGTAAAATAAAACTGCTTAAGAGAATTTTATTATGAAGCATGGCTGAAATCCTGTCTGATTCAGAACCTTCTGAACAATGTTTTTACGCCCTTTGGAACAGTCAGTGCGAAGCCTTTTGTGTGGATGATGGTGAAATGCTCTTCGGGGGGGTTATATGGACCTGCCAGATACCAGTGGTGGTCCTTATGGCAGCAAGAAGAAAACAGAAAATGCTTATTTAGTACTTACTAGAATTTCTAATCTTCATTTGTGGTGTTCTCCTTAAAAACAAGGAAGTCTTATATGTTTATGCCTCTAAGTGAGCGAGATCCTCTGAAGAGGTTCTGTGAAAATGTCCACTGGCAGTGTAGTATTTAACTTGGTGTCCACATATCTGGGAAGGCTGAATCCAGCATCTCCTGGGCCCTAGAACCCCTCTGACCACTTGCGTCTCTCTCTGGTTGGTTTGGGCAGCAGTGGTCACGCTTACATAAGGTTTACCTCCGTAGGATTTCGCAGGGGTGCTGGGTGAAAGTTGAGCTGTTGGCGCGTTAGGGTGTAGGTGTTGGAGTGTGCCCACAGCACCGGCCACGTAGCAAAAGGCGGAACAGCAGGAGAGTGGGTACAGGGTCTGAGCAATTATTCCCACCCCCAAGAAGCACAGCTTTGAAATAGAACTCTGGTAACTGTGTTTGATAGCGAGGTCTAGCGTTTAGTGAATATGCACCTTAGGTTGTGAAGTAATGGCAGGGAGATTGGACCTGGCGGGGCGAGAGACGGCGGCGTGGATTCTGAGTGTCCTCACGGCTTGCATCCTCTTGGATCGTTCTGCCGGAACACGGTGCTTTTCTCAGCCAAGAGGATTCCCTTTGCCTCCCAGCACCAGGACTGTTTATGAATTTAGATCTTGCTTTCTGGGAACTTTTAAGGTCACGCTCGTACTGTTCGGTGCTTTATGTGTTGAGAGAATTCAATATCCCAATTTTATTTCTACAAATAAAACAAAAAATAGATTGTAAATGTGTATGATTTTAAAAAAAGAAAATCAGTTGTACAGAAAGTGTGAAACAATAATGAATATGTGATATTTAATGATGTGCCTTTAGATGGATTTCTTGTGCGTTTTTATTAAAAATGGAAGCATAAGGAACATAGCCCAGCTTCATACTTTTGAATGATTCTTGATCCTTTTATCCTTTTATTCATTGTTCCAGTTTTACAATGCAGTCTGTCCTAAAACTGCCCCATGAAGTGAAGCATCTTCAGTTCTATTGCTGCACTTTACTGCCTAATTTTGAGCCTTTTTTCATTTATTCGAAATTGTGTGTGCGTTCCATCATCGCAGTTTCCAACCTATGTTATGCTGCACATCTGACGATTCATGAAAACCAGCCTTTGAAATTTTATGTATTTAGTACTTTTGAGTGATGCATTTCTCATTGAGGCGCTTGTTCAAAGCCTGCCGTTCGGCTGTTAAGGCAGCATTAAGATGGTCCTGTGTCTCGCCCTTATGCACAATCGAGAGGCGCATTACCTCATTTTCCAAACACCACATCCATTAAAATAAACAAGCGAATATACAAGCGTTTTGCGGAACGAAGCCAGAACATCTTTGTCGGTGATGAATAAAACGGAAGTCTACAGAAAAAGGTAGAGTGGAGATTTTTGAGCGAATTAAAAATTAAAACCTTTGCGAGGATGATTTGTCCATCGTGATATACGTTCACTTTTCATTTTGCTCAGCTGACAAGCTTGTCCGGTACATTACTAATTTATATAGCTATGTGCTTCACCGACCTTTTCTTCGCCTGTGCCAGTCCTGAATCGCTGCTGGGGTCCTGTTATACCACCTTCTTATATATGGCTGCTGGGATTGGGATTTTATTTCATTCCTTCAAAGATCCTGACCAACTGGGTACTGCTGCGTGGTTGAAAATGTGTTGGGGTCCACTGCAAAAAAGCATGCTGTGGCCTGGGGTTTGGCGAGTGGACCAGTGAACCCGTTCAGGCCAGAAGGACACAAGCGGAGGCCATTGAGCACCGTGACAGCTGGAGTCTGTTCGTGGGGATCCATCATGCTTTTATCCTGTTTTTTTTCACACCTACACCTGAGCTCTGAGCTGCTGGCAAGTCCTGTATCGCTTTTTCCAGTGACGACCTTTATGTGAAGAGGACCTCAGAAATAAAAGGAATATTCTTCTCTCAGCTTGTTTGTTCAGTGGAACCTGATCTTAGTTTGCAGTGAAGGTTCCTGTTCTTTAGTGTCTGAACCTGAACGTCAAGTGGGACTTACCCCGTCTCAGTGCAGAGTTCAGGTCATCCTTACGCTTTCGTGTTTTTAGATCAGAGTTCAGACTCCACCTTTGTTTTGAGAGGTCGGGTGTCTAGTCATTTGTGCAGCATAGAAACCTACTGATGCACCTATGTTGAAGCTTTGATTGATATATATTTGGGGGGGTCAG